CTGGGCGACATGAAAATTTCTGGGTCTGTCAGGTCACAACTGTAGTCCTGCTTCAAAGAGCCAAACAACAGCAGAACACCTGAGCACCACATAACAAATCATAGAGGGAGGCCCTGAGCTTCTCCTCTTCTCCTAATGAGCCAGTCTTCTTTTCAAGACTTTAGTTCATTAATTGCATAATCTTTTTTTTCTCTCTCTCCTCTTCCTCCCCCCCCCCCCCACCTATTCCCTGGTACACAGAGAATTCTCTCTTTCTCTGTCACCAATAAATTGTCTTCAATTTCTGTCTGTGATTACTTTCCTATGCTTTTATCAACAAAGCCAAGAACTTAGAAAGGGAAAGTTGTGGCCCTGGCTATACTTACCATACTTACATTTACTTTCTGATCTGATGTTTGAGATATTATAATTGTAAATTGACAACCTATAGTTATACATTTAGGTATAAAGATAATATGATTCAGGAAAAAATTGTGAAATTATATCAAACTAAATTAGGTGATGTCCATCACTATAACCATACATCATTTTTATAGTAACACATTAGAAAAGTATTCTCAGAAACTTTGAAATATGTACTAGTATTTGCTGGATTTAATATACTACAGCTTATCTCAACGGAATAAAATCCTACTTCTCCTATTTAACAGATTTTATATTCTTCACCCATCTGTGTCTCCTCACTCCCTACTGCCCTGACAACGTGTGCTATGCTACCAGGAGGTCAATTCCTTTACAATCCGCATGTCAGTGAAACACATTTGCCTCTCTGAGTTTGGACTATTTTACTTTGCATGATGTAAATCATGTAAATAAAGATAGAATCGTCAATTATATCCAAATTGTTACAAATTCCCATGTTGAAGAGAAGCAGCATTCCGAGTCACATCTGCTTTACAGTTTATGTGTTGGCCTTAACTTGGTTACTGTGCATTGTGCTTCAATGAGCATCTGACTTCACATGTATTTTAGGTCAATGATTTTTAAAAGGCATGTAAGTAAGTACAGGATAAATGTCTGTGTCAAATTATTTCTTTTAATGCCTTCTACTTGATGGTTGGCTGCTACCTCAATCTTATAGTGATTTTGAGCCAAAGTAGCTCATATATGGCAAAATTCAAACCCAGTTCTTAGATATAAGTTGGACAAAGTACAAGGACAATACTGGAACCAAACATGAGAAGCATCTCTAGCCCCCTGAAAATTATTGATGAAGAAAATATTGATATTGCCCCTGAAAATAATTGAATAACTTTATTTCATAGATGATGTTGAAGAAGTGTTCTGAACTGTCCTACATATGTTTCTTTCACTTTGGTGAACACCCTGACCAAAATCAACTAATGGAGAATGGGATTTGTGGGTGCCCACAGACATGGGTCCACTCCACCTTCACTGAAGGTCAGAAAGCTTTACTCTTTCAAAGTTATCGACTAGAGTTCTGGCTTAAGTAGTAGTTACAAACAAGACATTCTGACCTAGGGTGTGGTTATTTGGTGTTTTGCATATTAAAGCGGGACATAGAGATGGATCCATTCCACCTTGACCAACAGAGGATTACAGCCTATTCCTGCTCCTTCAAGGAGATAACAGGAGCTTTTACCCAGGGAGTGCCTGCCTACAGGATACTTTATCTTAGGTGTAGTCACTGTGTGTCCTGCCTAAAGTTTCAGAATGTTTAACTCAGGAAATAGTGGCTTGATATCTCAAGTAATGAAGCAAGTCATTGTTCTATTTATTCTTTGTATCATGTTGAAAGAGTCCTTTACCTTCTTTCCTCTCTATTTATTTGGGGTATATAAGCATGTGGAAAATAAATGAGGGCATATTTTGTATTCAGAATTCACTGGATTGCCCTCCCAGTTCTACCCTATGGCTCTGTATTTCTTGCCTATCTCTGTTCTTTTTACCTAATTCCTCTAATCCACATGCCTCTACCTTGGAACATGTGAAACATGTAGAGGTTGCACTCCAACAGGGATTTTTCTGGCTTACATATCCAAGTCACAGACCCCTAGTGATGTCAGATAAGAATTCAAGGCACAATCTTAGAAACAGAGATAGAAGCTGAGGCAACAAAGTAGGGCTCCTTACTAACTTGTACCTCATGAATTGCTCAGCCTAATTTCCTATATAACTCAGAAACACCTGCCCAGAGGTGGCACTGCTCCCATTCAGCTGTCCTTCCCACATCCATCATTATTCAAGAAAATGTTCCACAGACTCGCTCATAAACCACCCTGATAGATGCATTTTTTCCTTTTCTTTTCTATTTTTTTTTTGAGACAGGATTTCTTTGTGTAACAATCCTAGCTGTCCTGGAACTAGCTCTTGTAGGCCAGGCTGGCCTCAGACTCACAGAGATCTGCTTGCCTGTGTCTCCTGAGTGATGGGATTAAGGGTGTGTGACACTACTGCCCAGCAAGGGCATTTTCTTAATGGAGGTTCCTTCTTCCCATATGGCTGTGGCTGGTGCCAAAGTTGACAAAAACCTAACCAGCATGCAAAAGCATCAACCACTAATCAGGAAGACTGGAATAAATCACACACAATGGCCATTGTCACACAATCCAACTTTTTATATAATACTGGAAGAGAGAAAGTGAAAAGTACAAGTTAAGAGCATTTCACAATTTCTAAAAAGAATATGAACAGCTAATAAAGTTCTTCTTTATGTCTACATTTTCCAAGTACATTTCCATATCAGGTTTTTTTTTCAGAGTTTATGTCTAAATGCTTACTGTGACAGTGTCTACACTATCCATTTTATTGTCTATGCTGCACTTGGTTGAGATGTGCCATCCACACAGGCACAAATCAGGTACTATCAGGTTTGGAAAGCATTCAGATTTGGTCTTCAGGGAAGGTGAAGAGGACAGACTGGAAACAGATGTATCAAGCACCTCAGTGCAGACTAACTTCTGATCCACACAGAAGGCAATTCATAGAACTGATTTTTATATTTATTCTTTTTTCTTCAAGTTTAATCGGTGTTTTCCACACATCAAAACATTTTGTGGGGCTGTGAAGTTGACCCACTGAGCAATGGGCCATGTAGCCATGTATCCATGAGGACCAGAGTTCAAATGCCTAGGACACATGGAAAAGTCCCTAGCACAGCACTTCTCATCTGTAACCTCAGAGATGTAGGGTTTAGGGGTGGACCCTTGGAGCTTATCAGCCAGCCAGTCTAGCCAAGTCAGTGAGCTCTAGATCCAATGAGGGATCTGTTTTGTAAAAGAAAGTTGAGTGGCCATCACATAAAACCTTTTGTCAACATTTGACCTCTGTGTGAAGACACATACATGCTCACCAACATGCACATGTGTACACACACCTAAATGTGAGTACACCTAACACAATAACACAAACCTATAATATAACATTTCTCTCTCTCTCTCTCTCTCTCTCTCTCTCTCTCTCTCTCGAAGCTTCCTGAAGATCTTAATCATCTTTCCTTAATAGTCAAGCCTCTCTAGCCATTGGGAGGCACCCTAAAGCTATGGGTTTCAAGCAAAGGCACCCTAAGGCTATGTGTGGTGTGCCACACATAAATTACAGTAAAAATTCTGAAAATTGTGACCCTTATGAGAAATTATGCTTGGAACATGCTGTAGTTACTAAAGAAATTTAACATGAAAGTGTATCTTTAAAGCCACATTATAGCTCAAAATAGACAAGGACCACAAAAGTGATATCTATATGACACATCAAGAAAAACCGAGTCCCTTCTGGTTACCCCACACTCATATTAAAAGAAACCCAAAATATTAAAGCCAATTGTAAACAGGGCGACAAAAAAAATGAGTAAATAAGTAAACTAAGGACTTTTATGTATCAACGCATTATTAGCAGAATAAAAAGAAACACACAGAAGGAAAAAATGTATGTGAATCATGTATCTGGTGGAGGATTCACATATCAGAAATAAAAGTAACTATAACTTAATAGCAGAGAAAAATTAAGAGCCATGAGATAGTTCATCAGGTAAGATGATTGCTGCCAAGCTTGAGACCTGAGTACAATCCCAGAAACCCATAGGGATCAGCTGTTGTCAATTGTCCCATGACCTCCATGTGCATGCTCTAGGTCACACATGCCCACACATATACACACACTAAAGAAATAAATAATTGTAGAATGAAATGAAAACATTCTTATTTCAAATGGACAATTGCAGACACTTCATAAAACACCCAATGAATTATGACTTATTTTTTGCTGATATTTTATTCAAAACAAGAAAGAACATAAGTTTGGGTGAGAGTGTGGACATATTGGAGCCATTGTGTGTGTTGTGAGAATATAAAATAGGACAGTAGCGTTTGAGACAGGATAGCAGCTCCACAAACAATTAACACAGTGGCTTATGATTTGGCAACTCTAACTTTCTGCCTTACAGACCAAAAGTCCAGAGCTCAAACAGATGTACTTGCACACTCAGCAGCATGATTCATGGCAATCAAAGGTAAGAGTGAAACGCATTCCCAACCACAAGTGAATGGGAAGCAACACAGCATAGTCACACAATGGACGATTATTTTGTTTCCTTACAGAGCCCAAGAATTCCTCACACATGCTACACTTTGATGAACCCTGAGGACATTACACTAATGGAAAGGCGACAGTCAAAAAACAAGACCAAAACCAAAATACAGATACTTGTGTGACTCCAATTCAGGGTTCCCACGTTAGACATATTCAGTGACAGAAACTAGAATGGCTGATGCCAGGAATCAGGAGTGGGTGGTATGGGGAGTCTTCATTCCGAACTTGAGATGATAAAAAAAATGCCTTACGTTTTGAGTGTGGCGGTAGTATGAAGCTACTTCATACACAAAAACTGGTAAAACATAAGGCTGAGCTTTTCGCTCAGCTTTCAATATACCAAGACACTTTATCACACAATAAAACATTTACTCTGTTCTTATAGTTAATTTCAATTTTGAGTGGATTTATATAAGCTCAAACAGTGTGACAGCATTTTCTGAATTGCTTACCTGGCATGGACTTCAGTATAATCATTTCTTAGGACACAGAAAGCTGTACTCACAGTAACGGACAGTATGATAATGATAATTGCCTTTTACAAAGAAAACAGGGAAAATAAAAAATTTCCATTAGGAGTAGAAAATATTATACACATTGTCAATTATTTTAACATATATGTTTTACTAATCAGATCTCTGAAGTGATAAAAACACTATATTATGACCAGAGTCCCTGGAAGAACACACAACACGCATGTCAATAGACTGCTCATACATCAGACTGACAGTGAAGGTCTCTGCAGTCTGAGGCTCCAACAGTGCAGACCCTGGAAAAGGTAAGACTTCTCCAGTGCTCAACCAGAAATAGCCAGTGAAGGGCTCAGTTCAGGTAATAAAACCTGGATGACAAAGGGTGGGAGAGAATGCAGGCACCTGGGGAGGTTAGGGAACAAACCCAGGTGAGTGACAGAAAGTGTTCACCTAAACTGAGGTCTCAACACTGGTGCCAGTGAACATGTGCAGTTTTCTACCTCAAGTGACTCTAGGAAACTCAGGCTTTCTTTACTCTTATAGATAGAATCAAGTGCACCCCAGGCCAGGCGGACAGCTCAATGACAGAACCCTCACAACATACAGTAATGCTAATCCCCTCAAGTGGCAACCAAATAACAAAATTAAAAATGGCTCACAACACAGTTCCTAGCAATGGGATTCTGTGTGCTGAGAAGGGTGAGCTGGTTCTCACCTGTGTCACCTCTGTGCCTGTGTTGGAACCAGCACTATTGCTGTCACCAAAGTAGTCATACAGTGTCATCTGGGTCTCTCGATGCTCCCCTTGTCTGTCATTTCTGTCACTGCTGCTCCATCACCCTCAGCCACAGCAGTCTGGGCTTCAAGTCTTATCTAAGCTGCCAGCTGCATCAGACCCTCATTACCCTCTATCTAGTCACTCTCTGTAGACTGTCACAAGAGCCTGCACTGCTTTGCTTTTGGGCTCAAAATGGCTTTAGAAGGTTCTTCAATTAGCAAAGCTGCAATGCCATATAATGCTGTAACTTATTTGAAATATTCTGTTATTTCTCTGATAATATTTTAAAAGTAGAATATTATGATGCAAGAAAAGCATTCTAACATGTAACTTGATAATTTAGAAAACAAAATTCCAGGGCTTGGATATAAGACTCAGCAGTTATGACTACTTGCTGCTGTTAATAAGACAACAAAAGGAGATCAAGGGGATACAAATTAGAAAAGAAGTCAAACTATCACTATTTGCTGATGATATGATAGTTTACATAGGCAACCCCAAAAATTCTACCAAGGAACTTCTATAGCTGATAAACACCTCCACTAATGTATCAGGATACAAGATTAACTTGAAAAAATCAGTAGCCCTCCTTTATACAGATGACAAATGAACTAAGAGAGAAATCAGAGAAGCATCACCCTTCACAAAAGCCACAAATAACATAAAATATCTTGGAGTAACTCTACCCAAACAAGTGGAAGACTTGTATGACAAGAGCTTTAAATCTTTGAAGAAAGAAATTGAAGAAGAAACCAGAAAACGAAAAGACTTCCCATGTTCTTGAGTAGGTAGAATTAGAATAGAAAAATGACAATCTTACTAAAAGCAATCTCCAGAGTCAATGCAATGCTCATCAAAATCTCAGCAAAATTCTTCACAGACCTTGAAAGAACAGTACTCAACTTCATATGGAAAGTCAAAAAAAAAAACCGAGATAGCCAAAACAATCCTGTACAATAAAGAAATTTCTGGAGGCATCACAAGTCTAACTTCAAACTCTACTATAGAGCTACAGTACTGAGAACAGACTGGTACTGACATAAAAACAGATAGGAGGCCCAATGGAACTGAACTGAAGACCAAGATATCAATCCACACAGCTACGAACACCTGATTTTTGACAAAGAAACAAAAACTATAAAATGGAAAAAAGAAAGCATATTCAACAATTGTGCTGACATAACTGGATATCAACATGTAGAAGAATGAAAATAGATCTGTATCTACTGCCATGCACAAAACTCAACTCCAAATGGATCAATGACCACAACATAAAGCCAGTCACACTGAACCTCATAGAAGGGAAAGTGGGGAGTACACTTGAATGCATTGGCATAGGAGGTCACTTCCTAAATATTACCCCAGCAGCACAGACACTGAGAACAACAGTTAATAAATGGGACCTCCTGAAACTGGGAAGTTTCTGTAAATCAAAGGCTGTAGTCAACAAGACAAAAGGGAAAAGATTTTCACCAACCCCACATCAGATGGAGGACTGATCTCCAAAGTATAAAAAGAACTCAAGGAGCTTGACATCAAAAGAACAAATAATCCCATAAAAAATGGCGCACAGACCTAACCAGAGAACTCTCAACAGAGGAATCTAAAATGGTTGAAAGACACTTAAGGAAATGCTAAACATCCTTATCCATCAGAGAAATGCAAATCAAAACAACTCTGAGATTCCATCTTACACCTGTAAGAATGGCCAAGAACAAAAACATTGATGACAACTTATGCCGGAGAGGTTGTGGGGTAAAGGGAACACTCCTCTATTGCTTGTGGGAGTGTAAATGGGTACAGACCTTTTGGATAACAGTATGGTAATTTCTCAGAAAATTAGGAAACAACCTTCCTTAAAATCCAGCAATATCACTTTTGGGTATATGTTCATAAAATGCTCAATCGTACCACAAGGACATCTGCTCAACTATGTTCATGGCAGCATTGTTTGTCATAGCCAGAACCTGGAAACAACCTAAATGCCTCTCAATCAAAGAATGGTTAAGGAAAATGTGGTACATTTACACAGTGGAGTACTACACAGCAGAAAAAATGATATCTTGAAATTTTGGGGCAAATGGATGGATCTAGAAAACATCATATTGAGTGAGGTAACCCAGAGCCATAAATACAAATATCATATGTACTCTTTCATAAATGGTTTTTAGACATAAAGTAAAGAAAAACCAGCCTACAATTCACAATCCTAGAGGACCCAGACAACAAAGAGGACTCTGAGAGAGACATATATGGATGTAATCTACATGGGAAGTAGAAAAAAACAGGATTTCTTGAGAAAATTGGGAGCATGGTGACCTTGGGAGAGGGTATAAGGGAAGGGGGGATGAAAGGAAAGGAGTGGAAAAAGACATATAGCTCAATAAAAACAAGATAAAAAAAAACCTAAATGGAAAAAAAGAGTACTTGCGGTTCTTGCAGAGGACCTGGGATTCAGCACCCAAATGGCCCCTAAAGACCTTCTGTAACTCCAGTTCCAGAGAATCTGATGCCTTCTTTTGGCCTTCACAGATAAACATTCAGACAAAACACACATTCATAAAAAATAAATAAATTTAAAAAATTAGTCCTCAATTCCTAGCATTGCTAACACACACACACACACACACACACACACACACACACATCTTATTGTCTCACTGTTGAGCAATGAGTAACCCAATTGATGAATGTAACTCACTTTTTTCCAACCATATTGAATCTTTTTCCCCCAGAAAAAAAATGGACATAAAAATGCCTCCTTAATGACATAGTGCCCAAGACAGGAGCAAAGTATTTGGAGCAACTGACAGTATATCTCAAAGGGTAAAAATATTCACATACACAGAGGGAAGAAAGCAACATTGAAATATGAGGCACACATGTTAACAAGTTAGTGGGGTTTCATTACAGCCAAAAACACCTGACGTTTTAGAACACAACAAAAACTAAATGCCTGATAATAAAATAACAATGTACAACTTAGTATAAGTTCTTTGGATGGATGCAGGTCCACAGTAGAGTGATTGTTCTCTAATGGTTATGGCCCCAGGGTCAAACACTAACTAACACAGCAGAATCAGCAACATCATGAAATGAAAAATAACTGAATAAGTGATGGCCCAGTGAGCTGGAAGAACCACATTTCTGTGTGACATTGAGGTTAAAATAACAGAAAACCTTAAGGCATGATGATCCTTGTTACAGAGTCACTTTAAAGAAAAGTAGAACTTCACCTCCTCCCAGTTCCAGTTGGCTGACAGGGAAGAGCATTGTTCAGTCCAGTTACTATGTGTGTGTGGGCTGCACTCTTGGAGTAGCTGCTGCTTTCACACGCTGGACTCCTGATGAGGGAACAGCACTCAGCAATGGGCTCATCTCAGACAGTCGATGCTCAGGCTCCCTCAGAGCTGTTCTATGGCCCTGTCTCCTCACCACATGATTTCAACCGTCCTTTCCCTCTCCAGTCATTTCCACCCTTCTCTACTTAAACTTTCTCCAAGTTCACTCTTTCATCTGACAGGCTATAGTTTTTTTTTTCTTTTTTTTTTCTTTTTTTTTATTTTTTATTTTTTTTTTCTTACCTCCCATTTCCCTTCCCCTCCTCCCACCCTTCTCCCCCTCCTCCCACCCTTCTCCCCCTCCTCCCACCCTTCTCCCCCTCCCCCCACTCCTCTCCCCCTCCCTCTCCAGTCCACAGAGCAGTCCGGGTTCCCTGCCCTGTGTTAAGTCCTAGGTCCTCTCCGTCCATATGTAGGAAGGTGAACATCCAAACTGGCTAGGCTCCCACAAAGCCAGAACATTAAGTAGGATCAAAACCCCCTGCCATTGTCCTTGGTGTCTCATCAGTGACAGGCTATAGTTTTATCTATTTTTCCAGTTTTCATCCATCCACCCACATGAAAAGTTTCATCAGGAAAAAAAGTCTTATCCTCATTTAGTCATTTCTGGACTTTGAACTTGTAGGATGCGCTGTTGAAATAAAGCAGACAGGTGTGAGGAGCTACCAGGTGTGCTGGATTTCTTTTTGCATGCCCTGAATTAAATTTCCTACTTGGATTAGCCATTATTGTTCCTATAAATAAATATCAATCACTAAAAGTGTTTTCCGTGAGTAAAAAGTTAATCATGGTCTACTTGCTCTCTTGAATATTTCTCTATGCCAGGCAGAGTGGGGATGACAAACACATGGAAGGGAGCAGAAGATAAGTGTGGCCCTGCAGTAGACTGACTCAGAAACAAATTGCTCCCACGTGAGTTTTTCACAATAAAATTAAAATAACTCATCAGATTACCTGGATTCCAGTGACCCATGGAAAACCCAGAAAATTTTTAAATGAACGACAGATAATCCACCAGAGCTGATGCCAGAAAGGGGTGACACACGTGATCTCCTCCAAGGCTGAGCTCTTCCCTGCCTTCTGTTCCCCCAAGAGTCGATTCAGGTCAGTTCTCATTTTGCTGTATAAGGAGGACTGGGCATACATATTGGCTAATTCTTCTGTGACTTCATGCTGTCTCTCAGAAAGCTCTTTATATTTGTCAGCTTTGGAATGAAAATGGATAAAGATAAGAAACAGGCAAAAGTGTAAGTGATTTTTTTTTCTGAATAATGTAAATTATGTGTCAGTTTTTCTTTCAGACAGTACCCTAGACTGGCCTCAAAGTTGCTCTGAAGTAAAGTGTGACCTTAAACTTCTCTAGGTCCTTCTGTTTATGTCTCAAGTGCTGAAATTACAGGCATGCACCTTCACACCCAGTTATACGCTGCTAGGAACCAAACTCATGGCTTTGCGCATGCTAGGCAAGCACTCTACCAGCTGAGCTCCACCTTCAGCCCACCAAACTTTGAACATAAAATAATTTCTCCTGTGTAATTTCTTCACCGATTAGAAAAGTGTCCCTAACTGACCTGACTACTGTCATTACCCCATGGACACAGCAATCTGATTGGCCTTTTCCCATATGGGCCCCAATTCTTAATAAAATTCTTTTTCCCCTCTGTATCTATACTTCTTAACATAAAACTCTGGTCCCTGCCCTAGTCCATGTGTGAACACATATGCAAATGTTTATGCAAATTTATAAACTGTCGACTATCTTGTTTTTAAAATAGCCAGGCATGGTGACATAGCTCTGTAATACCTACTTGGATGTTGAGGCAGAACGAACACACATTTAAGGCCAGTCTTGCCACATAAGCAAACCCTATCTAAAACTATTGCAAGAATAACATGACAAGCAATAGGTGCATTACTTTTAACCAGAAATTTCTCTTTTGACAATGTCATCTAAATTTTCTTTATAAATTAAATTAAAAACACCAGCACCAACAGAGAGCAATATCTATTAGCTAATTTTATACACTAAATTAACATAAAAGCTATTCTCTAAAGAGACACACAATTGTGTTTTAATGAAGACTCACATACCTTCATGGTCATCTTCCTCTGTATCTAATAGAGTAGAGAAGCCTCCATTAATGACATCTAGGAAGAAGTCTGCAGGGTTGTTGTGGGAATCATAGTTGTAACCTACAAGGAAGGTAGGGCAAGAACACAAACCTGAGGACCTTCTTTCAAAGAGAGTGAAAGGGGAAGAAGAGAGAATCTAACAACGTCTCCCTCTCCTTGCCCCTCCCCCCCACCACTTATCCTCTTCTATTATATATATATTCATAATATTTCAACAATCTCTGCTTCACTGCCTGTTGTATACATGTGTACATATATGTTGATGTTATACAAACATAAATGATATATATATATATAACGCAGGCATAGACAGAGTAGACATAGCCTAGACATAGACCAAGACAACTAGACATACACATAGATTAAACATAGGAATATACTAGGCATAGACATAGTCATAGGCATAGACTAGAAGTGGACATAGAATAGACCTAGACTAGACGTAGGCTAAACATAGGCACAGATAAAAGAATTCTTCCTGTGAAAGAATCATTTGAGCACAACCTAATTTTTTATTAGACTTCATAGACTCATGAATATTCTCACATATTTAATGAAAAGTATTAATTAGAAACAAAGAGTGATGGACAACAAATATTTAAATCTATATTTGTTGTCAATGAGACTCATCCATAACTATATCCATATTACTTTAAGATGAAACTGATGGCATGGATCATTAAAAAACATTTCATCATTCAATCTGACTATGAACAAACCAGGCAGACTGAAAACATAAGACCACAGAAGCCAGACCTGAGTCACTATAGCCCCCATGCATCATCTAAACCTGAAATGCAAAGTTACAGTAAAGTTAAGTGACCTCTCAGAGTCAGGTCACACTAGGGGCAAACTGAAAACAACCATCTACTATGTGAACATGAACACGATGATGCTGGGCCTTTCCAATGCTGTTCAAGAGATGGATTAGAGGGCCTGAGCCCAGCATGTTAATTAAGAGGGTCACCATGACTAGGAAGCAGAACAAGAGACTCAGTAGAAATCCTATACACAGGCATGATATAGGACAGTAGAAAGACAGCAACCTTCTCAACAAGCCTATGCTGCACAAATAGCAGAATCCTGTCACCAAATAACCAAAGATATTTAAAATGGAGAAACCCACACACAGTAAGTCTGCACAAGGGCCAAGCTGCATTCCTGAGAACCCCTCTTCTCTCCCCATATCCCGTGACTGAAGGAGCTCTCACGGCAAAGCCAGCCATACCTGCAGATTTGAAGTACTCCAAAGCCTCCTGTGCAGGCCCGTGAAACATGACATTTCCTGAGGCCACTAAGGTGAGGCTGTCAAACAGTCTGAAGATGGAGTATGGGGGCTGATTAATGGAGAAGATGATTGTCCGTCCCCTCATAGACATCCTAAGTTTAAAGAGGAAAAAGTAATAAGTCACTGGACAGAGAAAACTTGAGATTCTCAACAAAATATTTTATTCCTGAAGTTATACTCTTCATTCCCATTTTACTTTGAATTCTCCTTAAAAAAATACCTTGTCTTACTTGTTTCATGCACCTGATAGAGAAACCAAGCTCCAAGCCTTTATTTAAGAGATTAGGACTTCTAATGTGTGGGATGTTAGTAATTCAAGGTCCACTCAAGTGTTACTGGCAATGTTGAGCTGTGCACAATTTTCTAGACAATGAACAGAAATATCTGGGAGTGAGGGCAGGGAATCCATATCATGAGCAGGCTGCTCAGGTGATTGACAGGTTCACCCAAGCTTGAGAAGCAATGACAGAGCAAACATTACAGCTGTGACTGTAAGCACAATTCCCCTCAATCGTTCACACTTTTTTTCTTCAGGAAATGGTTTTCACTGTTCTATGATGTGACTCACATTCCTAACTACTGCTCTCCCTAAACACTTCAGCAATAACCACATTTCAACTTCCACAATATTGGCAAAAGACAATTCTAATATAATTTCCACTTTTTGTTGATGAGGCGTTGTGGGATTTTAATTTGTTTAGTCAATGACTTTTGGGAAAACAAGGCCTAAGGCATGGTCTTGTCTGCATAAATGACTGCTTAAGAACTGAGGGAGAGTGGTCACATGCTCTCTCTCTCTCTCTCTCTCTCTCTCTCTCTCTCTCTCTCTTGCTTTATCTTTCTCTGTCTCTGTCTCTCTGTCTCTCTCTCTCTCTCTGATGGTCAGAGCAAGGGCAAGGAGCAACTGGTTCAAGTTCCCCCTTGAAGAAGAGCAGGACACAGCAGTGGGATCATGGCAACGACTATTTGGTTCTGTATCAGTGAGTGTTTAGTCCCATTTTATAGCTAAGTGAATTCTTGAGATTCTTCAGAATAAGGCTTAAAAGGTCAAGTAATAGTCCAAGGGGTCAGTTAGTGAGGGACAAAGCTGGGACTGGATCATTGTTTTAATTACATAATAGAAAAAAAATAAGCTGATCAACCATTTCAGGAAGTCATATCTTCTGTTAGGAGAAAGAATAACCAAAAACAGTGCTTAAAACTGCTTTGAATATATGTTTACAAAAGCTGATTATGGTAATATATATGTCCTCTACTGACCAGCTCAGCTGCCACCCAGGCACACATCCAGGGCTTTGAGTTTTCCCAACCCAACATGTACCCCATCTGTGACCTGCTGGAAGGCATGTAAGGGGTGTTCTGGGAGGGTGAAGTGTGGATATGGGGGAACTGACTGGGAGTTGCATGGGATTGGAGTGCATGATGTGAAATTCCCAAAGAATCAATAAAGAATTATGTTTTGTTCTAAATCTGGATAGGCTGGCATATCTGTAATATCCCAGAACTTGGTTGGATCAAGAGTTCAAGGTCCACCAAAGTTACAAAAGACTCTATTTCATTAAGACAAACAGAAAGAACAAAAGAAAGAGAGTGAGGAGGAAGGGATGGAAGAAGGAATTAAGGAAGGAAGTTAGGGAAGCAAAGAAGAAATGAAGATAGCTAGAGAGGAAGGGAAAGAAAGAAAACGGAAAAAAGTGAGGGAGCTAGACATGGTAGTGCACACCTTGAATTCCAGCAGGACAACCACATGGTAGACAGGAGATCAGGGCACAATAATGGTCTACTAGCCAATTGTTTTCCTTGTTGGGCTGTTTATAAATCTCAAAAGAAAAAGCTACAATTTCATCTAATATAACTGGCAACCACAAGATGTTTAGATGATCAAAATTCAAGCCAGGCAAGCAATATGGCTCAATGGGTAAAGACACTTGACGCCAAGTCTCAAGACTTGATTTCCATCCCCAGAACCCAGTGAGTGAAAGGAGAAAACCAAGTCCCTTGAGTTTTCCTATGACCTCTACAAACATGCTACATATGCACACACACACACACACACACACACACACACACAGAGAGAGAGAGAGAGAGAGAGAGAGAGAGAGAGAAAGAGAGAGAGAAAATAAATAGATAAATAAAATGGAAAAAATTAAAATGATTTTACCACAAGGATGCACTTCCAGAAGTGTTGGAGACCAAGGAGAACACAGCATATCAGGGACTGAATCTGCTCCCAGAACACTGAGAGAAACCACACTTGGGATGACCCAATGCAAAGCACGAAGACTACCCATGGCATGAAACACAGCAACAGAGAAGCATTCCATACTGAAAAATGAGCAAGAACTTGATCATAGAGAGTATCCTGAAGTAGACAGGAAAAGGGACAGATAGGGAAGGTGGTGACACCAGAGGAGTCTACAGGCTAGAAGGTGGCAAGTCCCCAGTTGCTGACTTCCTCACTTGAAGGTACAATGGAAAAGTGATCTTGGTTCCTGGAGGGACAGGAAAAGATATGTAGTGACCATGATGTCAGAACAAATCAAAGAAAAGGGAGAAGGAAGGAAAGACAAAGAGCACAGTAAAGTTCAACAGCCAGGAACCTAGGTCCTGGGAAAGGGATATTCCTTACATGGTCCATGGGGTTATTCAGTCAGTTTGGAACTCTTACTAGTTTTTAAAATGTAAAAACCTAACTCTTACTATTTTTCTATAAATATTTCAGCCACAAAGCTATTTTGTGAGAGACGGGAATGCTATTTCTTTGATTCATTCTTCCCCAGGTTCAGGGTCAAGACCTTAGCAATCATTACCTCAGCCATCACATCCAGGGCTAATACCAAAGATAATCTAATTTATTCTATATTCAAAGACACCCAGAACCCACCATTTGATAGCTAGGAACTCCCACATCTCAGCCTCCTGCTGACATTTTACATCCCCATAGAGCAGCTGCACAACCTTCTCCATCATGCATTGTTCTGCTCTAAACTCGGAAGCTTTCCCACATCCCCTGCCTTGGAAAACCTTAGACCTTACAGTGATGCAGGGCATCTAGGCAATCTACATCCAACCCTACCAAACACTCTTCCTTTAGTTGTGAATGTGGAGGGCTGAATTGTGTCCTTCTAAGGACTCATTTGTGGAAGACTTCTTATGTAAGAACTTAAAAAGCAGCTATAATTGCAGATAAAGTCTTTAAAATGGGAATTAAATTTAAATGAGAATACTAGTGTGTCTTAATGTAATTGGTGTCCATTTAAGATCAGGGCATAGATACATAAATAGGAGACACCAAGCACAACTCAGTGACCCAGACCTCAGCAGACACAGACTAAAGATACCTTAATATCTGGCTTCAGGATCCAGAACTGTAAGATATTTAACTTCTGTCACTCAGTCTGTGGTGTCTTTAGCAGTGCACTAGCAAATTTCCATCCCCTAAGGCTGTGGGGTTCTGGTCAATGTGGTCTCTTTAATGTTCCAGACACACCAAACATGCATTGCCTCAGAACAAATGAGTTTTCTCTCCATCTAACACTCTGTTTGGATCTCACCCACCCATCCCCAGATCACCTAAACAATGTTTGAGGGTTATAGGGACATGCTATTTAAAGCAGTCTCCACCTTCACCACAGCCAACTTCCCCTATACTCTTGTCTCATTGTTCTTGACATGTATTCCTTGTTAATTGAAGTTTCCACCTAATAAACAAGGAAGAAATTCTGTAGCTTACCTCTGAATCTCCTGCACCAAAAATACACACAAGTGACCAGTTCTTAAGTGAGGAAAACTTAATGTTCCTGTGGCATTTACCTTCTCAGGACAGAGATGACATCACTAGTAGTGCTCCAGTCTAAGTCAGTGGTGGGGTCATCCAAGAACAAAATGGAATGCTCAGTGACCAGCTCCATTGCTATACTGGTTCTTTTCTCAAGCTCTTTAGACCTAGGCTAAAGCACCAACAGCCTTCATTATCAACAAGAACACCCACAGTCACTGTCATTTGATGAACAAGCCAATTCCAGCAATAAAAGGTATTGTTATATCATTATTCTGACAAGCAAAAATATGTGCACCTGGGAGAAGATTTCTTATTTCCAAGTGAGAAGAAAGAGGCTCAAGACAGACTTAACATGAAACCCAAGCTAATGACAGTTACTGTTTTTCTTTATCAAGTCACATATTCTAAAGTAATGAGTCATCACTTTCAAAAACAGGCACAGTGAAATCTCTGTCTAAAAGACAAGGAAGATGGGACAGAAGAAGAGGAAGTATCTCTAGTAATATCGTTGTCATTTTACACCTGTGCCAACACACACATGGACATACACATACATAGAGAGACATACAGATACAAATACACATACTGCTTTTTTGACAAAAATTACACATTTTCTTATCAGAGTCTTTTCAGTTCCTTAAGACCTCAAGAATTGACATTATTTACACTGTATAACAATACAGAATCCAGGACGTATCCTTCCAGACAAATCCAAAAGTTCATAGTTTATAGATCAAACTAGAGCAGTCATTGAACCAGCCAATGTCACGTGTAAGGTAATGGAATAACAAGGTTTAGGGGGACACAGAACTAGGGAACAATTTTCTCCAAACACGATAACCAAAGCCATGATCAAGCCCTACTGATAACATACAGCAAATGATGTTTTGGGGAATGTGGATAAGTGTGGTCAGGACAAAGATATAAAGGAATTATTCATTTTGATAGGTAAGAATAAAGTTTATAGGTAAGCAGATGTCCCTATTTTAATGGACGAAAAGTAAGTACTCAGGAGTAAGGAACTAATTAATGTTCTGTTAAAATGCTGCAGTGAGAAACAGCTTTACTGAGTATGCTGTTATAAACACTAAAATGCCATGAGACTGGTACTAATAAGTGTACTATTATGTTGGCTATACAACAGGTAATATTTTACAGTAACCACATATTGCCTCTACATTTCATAAATCAAAATCTGTGAAAGACTGAAAACAAGTCTTAGCAGGGAAAAACATTTGCCCCACAAGCCTGAAGCCTGGCTTCAATCTCTGGAATTCATATATGAAGCCGTATGAAGCATGTATGAAAGGGAATGCATCTGTAATTTCATCAAGATGCAATTACAATGAGATATTTGTTGATCAGGATCATCAGATACACGTGTAGGGCAACAGCAGAAAAAGGGAGACCCTGCCTTACAAACAAGTAGGAGGAGAAAACAGACCTTTGAAAAAGGTGTCCCATGACCTCCCTGTGTGTGCTGACATTCAGACACACACACACACACACACACACACACACACACACACACAATGCATGATGAAATCATGTACATACCTCTTTTAAAACTATCATTAAAAGTTATATCAAAATTATTGTAATCTACATTTCATGACTTTCAAGAAGTTAATAAATATCTTCATATGGTGTCCCTTAAAAAACAAGTAAGCAAAAAAAGTAAGCCACTTAGATCAATGATTAATTACTGTTAAAAACAAAACAAAAGAACCTATCTTATTGTAAACATAAAACCATGTCAATACACAGAGCCAATGTAAACAAAATTCCATCACTCAGGAAAAAAAGAAGCATGGTAAATGTCAGCTTTTCTATTGTTCTTCTCAACAAGACAACCAAAAACAACTATGGAGAAGTATGAAGGGAATCAACAGTCAGTACTCCTATTCCTCATTGGGTCTAAGAAGGAGACACCACAGGAGTAAAGCCATGACAATCTTATTCTGGGGAGTCCTTTCTCATCCATATATACAAATGTCTGCTCATGAGACATCTATATATGGCCTTCTCAATGATTTGATGTCATTGTGAGAGGCAGGACAGTTTGAAGGATTTGGAAAGAAGAGGGAGAGAAACCCAATGTTTAAAACTCTAGGCATATAGTATAGTATCTAATCAGGTTTTATAAACAACATAATAATAAAGAACGTTTGAGGAATGTGAATGGTTATAAACTGACAGGGCTGAGGATTTCAATATTTATTTCATTTTGATAGTTAAGAATAGAATGAGTATTCAGGGATGACATATTATACAATTTTTTTGTAGTAAGAAATCTGTTAGCTATTTACAACATCCAGCTGTGAAGCTCACCACTTATCTATTTCCTTTCCTCATCCTGTAAAAGTCTCAGCAGAAGGAGCCACTTGGTTCATTCATTGTTACACTTGCCCAAGTTGCCCAAGGTTGTATCTGTAAAATATTACACAGGGTCTTTAAATAAATTTTAACAGAAGATAAGGAAGCAAGGAGCAAAGGTAAAGTGTACCCTAGTTCCTCACTGGTTGCCAAGATAAAAAGTAAACAAGGAGCAAAAGGTTTTATTTCAGCACAAAGTTCAAAAGTACAGATGACCGTTGTAGGGAAGTCAAGACATAAAACGAATACAGCTGGTTACATCCAGTCAAGAGCACAGAGAGGTTGAATGCACACATGCCTCTCAGTGTTGAACTCACACTTTCCATTCTCATGCCACCCAGGCCCCAAACATAAAATGGTCCTGCCTACAGTGGGCTGGGTCTTTCCACATTGCTTTACTTAATCAAGAAAATCACTTACATAAATGCCAACAAGTCAACCTGATTATAATTCCTCACTGAGACTCTCATCTAGATGATTCCAGGTGATTCTAGACTGTATCAAGTTGACAGTTAAAACTAGCAAGCACAGACAGGATGAGATAAAAGCACAAAATGAAAGGCTACAGAAAATAACAAGCATTAAACAGTTAGAAGTAAATGCTAAAGAGACCAAGGCCAACCCTGAAAGGCAGAGACAGGTAGATCTCTGTGAGTTCAAAGCCAGTGGGTCTGCAGAGTGAGTTTCTGGACAGCCAAAGATACACAGAAAATCCCTGTGTTTAAAAACCAAAAATTAAAAAATAAAAAGCAAAGAAAACGAGTTTTTAAAAAAGCCATGTAAAGATGGAAAGTACACAGAGAATCTGAATATTGTGTATTACTTTGTTGTCTTTGAATTGTTTGACTGCTGAGGAAGGAGTAACAGCTGATAAAAGACATTTGATTATAAATGCTCCTGGATTAATCTAATCTATATATTATGAAAATGCTTTGACTTCAAAATTTAAGTGAATAAATATGGTAGTTTGGAGAAAGTGTTTTGTTTTGTTTTTTTCTACAGAGAATGAGAGTCTTTGGATTCATTCTGGGTTAAGAAAAATAATATTGGAAGAACCCCTGAAAAATCTCCAGTGGGAAAGGATGACCCAGATTATCCAATGTTTCAGAGTACATTAGTTGCAGTTTCCTCTGAGTTCTACATCCAGAACAGCTTCAAGACTTCGGGCTGAAATGACCTAGTAAGAATACTCTAGTAAGGACTTGACCACAATCCTAAATTTTCTTTGTGTCCTCATAAGATTATCAGTGCCCTCAAATAGCAGGAAGTAGTCTAGAAAACTACATTCACATTCCAAAAAATGATGTCAATCTTTGTTTAGCATTCTGATTACAAGTTTTTATGGATAATGGTCAGAAGAGAAAAGGCTAAACAAAGGACATTACATTCAGGGTCTTGTTTTAAAAGAAAAAAGGGGGAAATACCGTGGGATACAGAAAGCAGCCACTTTAAACACACAACTGCTGACAGAGGGTCATATAATCCACACAGGAATTTCTCTCTCTCAGTCTCTCAGATCTCTCTCTCTCTCTCTCTCTCTCTCTCTCTCTCTCTCTGTCTCTGTCTCTTATGGTGACATTTTGGCTCTGAGTCTTTTAAGATTTTCTTCACATTACCTGGACATTTGCAACTTTATCCAAATGCAGAAGTTCAAGGACCTCATTAATTCGCCTTCTTTGCCTTCTTTTTTCATCTCCTGTTAGAGCCATTGGAAGTCTAAGAGCTGCTGAGAACTCTATATTTTCTCTCACAGTCACCGTGTGCATCACCACGTCATTCTTAAAGTTAAATGGAAGTTTAATTTTAATTACAAATAGTTATCAGTAAGACCATTACTCTAATATATGTAATGTAGTCATATATAAAGCACACCCAATGTAATGCTCTACTTAAAAATATCTTTTCAATATTACTAATTTCAAGTACACAACCTGATGTACTCATTTTCACACCCTTCCATTTGCCTTGAAAGTAGAGCACAGGGATTTTGATGATGACTACTTGCAATTATTTGCAAAAGGCATCTTCTAACCTGTGGAGAAAGATGAGGAAGGGCAAAATCAGACAACAGTCTTCCTTTGTAGAATTAAAACACAGCTGCAATTACTAATATTGTGCCATAGATGTCATACTTCAATCCCTTCCCATCTTTCTATTTAACAATGCCACCCTTAGGATAATGATTCATTGTGTAAAGCTGTATAGAGAAAGTTGGGCCTATAAGTGCATCATATAATAAACTAGAAACAAAAATCTATTAGCTGAGCATCTGTCAATACAGAGGCAAGGGAAATCTAAAATTACAAACTCACCAGCACTTACTTGTGGCACATAACCAGAAATACATGTGAAATTAGCAATTCGTGGTTTTCCATTTATCAAAATATCTCCTGATAATCCATGTGGATCTTTCCTTGCAGCTAAGACATCTAATAACCTAAAAAGCATTACATATGTTGTGTGGTTTACTTCTTCCCTTCAGTAACAGCTACCAGCTTCAGATGCTCAGAGTAAAAATTCTGCATATCCTAAGTTTAACTGAAATCACACACACACACACACACACACACACACACATACACACACACACACACACACACACACACACACACACACACACACTCCTTTCTGTCCATTATGTGCTCAAATATAATCCAGAATTATAAATGTAAGATATTATCCATATGGCTTCCCCTCCCTGCGATATGACTTTGGGGACTCAAATAGGTAGTATGTTGCCATATTTTGAGAATTAGTACTGTGGGACAGTGGTCGTATACATTGTAAAGATTAGACACTTTTATTGGTTTAACAAAATGCTATTTGGCCAGTATCCAAGCAGTAAATATAGGTGGGACAACCAGAATATGAAAATTCTGGGAAAAGGAAAGGCTTAGTCTGCAGTCATCACCCAGACACAAAGGAAGCAAGATGAGAATGCCTCACTGATAAAAGAAACCAAGCCATGTGACTAACACAGGCAAAAATTATGAGTTAATTCAAGATACAAGAGTTAGTTAATAAAAGGCATGAGCCAATCACTATATAATTAATGTAGGTCTCTGTGTGATTCTTTGGGACTAAATAGCCTGTGGAACCTGGTGGGACAGACACCTCTGTCTACAAATGGTGCCAACGTGAGCAACTGTATCCACATAGAACCCAAGAGAAGCATTTCTAGACACAAAAGAACAGAGGTAAGCTTGACTTCTTGCTAGCAGTATTTTCTCTGGTAGGTTTTGTTTGCTAGAGGCAAGAGCATCTTATTTAAGAGAGTCTTCCTGACTCAGCTTTAGCTACAAAAATCTTGCAGCTCTTTTAAGAGGCCCCCACCACCAAAAATTAAATGGTGCTTATGAATAGCTAACAACATGCTTCTTGGTGGTGGCAGGAACCTTGAAACTCAATAGAGTTGTGGCAATAAATATGGCTCCCACCAATAACTATACCATAAAGTTAGACTCTCAGAAAGCTAAGGAATGGGGTGGATCTAGCCTTCAAAGCCACGGCACTAATACTAGTCAAACTGCTTAGCAAATTAAAGACTCATGTGATAAAAAAAAGATAAATATATAGCAAAAATAATTCAGACAGAAAAATTACAAGCCTCTAAATTGCTTACAGTGTGTTTAAAAATATATGTAGGCTTGGGAGAGAAAAGAAAAAGGATAAAATCTTAAAAAAAGAAAGAGAGTAGTGGGTGTGGGGGCACACACCTATAATTCCAGCACTTAAGAGGCAGAGGTAGGCAGATTTATGTGAGTTCAAGGACAGCCTGGTTTACAGAGTTAATTCCAGGACAGCCAAAGATACACAGATAAACCCTGACTCCAAAAAACAAAAATTAAGGATAAAAATAAAAGTAATAGAGTTTTTTTAAAAAAGCCATGGAAAGATGGAAAGTATACAGCGAATCTGAATACTGCAAGTTATTGTGTTGTCTTTGAATTGTTTGAATGCTGAGTAAGGAGCAACAGCTGCAAAAAGACATTTGATTATAAATGCTGCTGGATTAATCTAACCTATGTATTTTGAAAATGCCTTGACTTCAAAATTTAAGACAAAAGATAAGTTACTTTGGAGAAGAAGTTTTGCTTTGATTTCCATAGGAAATAAGAGGCTGTGGATTCATTCTGGGCTAAGAAAAATCAGATGTGATCAAGGACAACCCACTGTAAAATCTCCAAAGAAGCGAATGGCATAGATGATTCAACATTTCAGAGGACCTCTGTTGCATTTCCTCTTCGTTCTACATCCAAAACAGCCTCAAGACTGCTGGCTGAGATGATTACTCCTCACAAAATATTCCAGGTATGGCTTGACCATATTTGTAAATTTTCTCTAGGTCCCATAAGATTATTAGTGCCCCCAATCAGCAGGACATAGCCTAGAAAACAATGCCCACATTCCCCCCAAAATGGATTATGGATGTTTGTCTTTCTTTAAAATGTTGGTTACATGTTGTTATGATTAACAGTCAGGGAAAAAGCTAAACAAAGATTAGATTCAGAGTTCTTGTTTTAAAAAGAAAAAAGGGGAAGCACTGTGGGACAATGGTCTTGTACAATGTAAAGATTAGTCGCTTTTGTTGTTTTAAAAAAATGCTGATTGTGTAGTAGCCAGGCAGGAAATATAGGTAGGGCAACCAGAACAGTAGAATTCTGGGAAAAGGAAAGGCTCAGTCTGCATTTCCAGACATAGAGGAAGCAAGACGAGAATGCCTCACTGGTAAAAGTTACCAAGCAACGTGGCTAATATAGACAAGAATTATAGGTTACTTCAAAATGTAAGAGTTAATTAATGAGAAGCCTGAGCTCATAGGCCAATAACTTTATAATTAATGTAGATCTCTGTGTAATTCTTTGGGACTGAATGGCTGTGGGACTGGGTGGGACAGACACCTCTGTCAAAAAATTAGTCCTAGAGATGTTTTCTAGTATTCATAAAACTCCTTCTTCTCTCTAATTTTAATACTACCTCCTTGACTAAAAATAATAATATGACCCAACACCATATGCCAATCACTCTGTCATTTCCTAGCAGTAAAGTGATGTAGTAAGATTTCTGCTCTTAGTATAAAGTTAGAATGCACCCTCCTGCACGTTAACCACAGCACACGGAACCAGACTCACAAATACACACTCACAGATACACTCACGCAGTACTCAAATAACTCTTATAGGAGTGATTTTTACAGCACAGAAACTGGATACAAAGGGCTGTGTATGCTTTCCATTATACTCACAAAGATCTGCTCCCATCTTGAGGTCCCATAATTGCATTAAGGCCAGGTTTCATAATCCCACTGTAAACACAAAATCATACTGGTTGATTTTTCTATTTAAAAGAAATAATATTAGCTTAGGGTTTACACTGATTATGCTATTGAAGTTGGATGAAATTGTACACGAAAAATTAGCACAAACTCATAAAATTAAAACATTAATAGAAGCCTATTAGTCATAAAAGATGTCAATTGCTAGTGGAAACTCATAAGAAAATTGCCTCAGGTATCACAAAACTCCTGTTATTTATTGTTTAAGAACATGTCATTTTTGAAACATGGTGCATGCAAGTTCAGTGTTCCTTGAAGCAAGTAGCAGGTTTTCATGAAGATTACATTACACTATAGCCTTTCTGCATCAAATATATAACAGATTCTTGCTAAAGTTTGATAATCAGTATTTCATATAGCTCTGTTTGCTGCCTCACAAGAAACAAATGATTCATGGGATACCAGTAGCAGTGTCATTATTGTTAAATTAGAATGAAACCAAAATCAATGTTTCTTAAGTGGAAATCCAAACACTAGGAAGAAGCACTCAGAGGACAGGAGAGTATTGACAAGTTCAACACTGAAAACAAAAAAACAAAGAAAACACCACCTTAATCAAAATTAAAAAAAGCTAAATACACACCCACAAAATGATAATTTCCTTCCCTGATAAAGAGACTAGAATACACTCAGTTTAGAATTGGTAGACATTCCTCACATAAAGAACATTATTTATTGATGTATAGGTATAGTAAAACACAAATTATGTCTCAAAATACTGATTAATTTAGAGTAGTAAATATTCACATTGAAAAGGGTATATACTTTTTTTCTTATAGAAAATTTAGCTACAACAGACAGACATAATAATCTCAGGACACTTGCAGTCTGCTAACCTGGCATACCCAGCAGGGAACAATGAGGGACTCTGTATGCAACACAGTAGAAGGTGAAGACCAATGCTTAACGTTGGCCTCTGAAAGCCTTGTGCCACAGGTGTTGCATAGCATCCACACATCTGCACATGTGAACATGCACACAAATATACTTATACACACAAACAGATATATACACATACATAATACACTTTTTTATTTTATTTTATTTATTTATTTTTATTGAGAAAATGAGAAAAAAAAACAAGTTTCCACCTCCTCCCAGCCTCCCATTTCCCTCCCCCTCCTCCCATCCTTCTCCCCCTCCTCCCACTCTTCTCCCCCTCCCCCCACTCCTTTCCCCCTCCCTCTCCAGTCCAAAGAGCAGTCAGGGTTCCCTGCCCTGTGGTAAGTCCTAGGTCCTCCCCACTCCGTCCATATCTAGGAAGGTGAATATCCAAACTGGCTAGGCTCTCACAAAGCCAGCACATTGCATAGGATCAAAACCCCTTGCCATTGTCCTTGGCGTCTCATCAGCTCTCATTGTTTGCCATGTTCAGAGAGTCCAGTTTTATCCCATGCTTTTTCAGTCACAGTCTAGCTGGCCTTGGTGAGCTCCCAATAGATCAGCTCCACTGTCTCAGTGGGTGGGTGCACCCCTCGTGGTCCCGACTTCTTTGCTCATGTTCTCCCTCCTTCTGCTCCTCATTAGGACCTTAGGAGCTCAGTCCAGTGCTCCAGTGTGGATCTCTGTCTCTATCTCCATCCATCACCAGATGAAGGTTCTATGATGATATGCAAGATATTTGTCAGTATTGTTATAGGATAGGGTCATTTCAGGTTCCCTATCCCCAGCTGCCCAAGGAATTAACTGGGGGCCTCGGCTTGGGCACCTGGGAGCCACTCTAGGTTCAAGTCTCTTGCCAACCCTAAGGTGGTTCCCTTAACTAAGAATTGTGCTTCCATGCTCCCCTATCCAACCTTCCTTTATCCCAATCCTCATTTTTCCCCAAGTTCCCCCTTCCTCCCTTTCTCCCTTTTCTCTCCCCATCTCCCCTTACCCCCATCCCACCCCACCCCCAAGATCTCAATTTTCTCCCCGGCAACTTTGTCTACTTCCCATAGCCAAGAGGATAACTATATGTTTTTCCTTTGGTTCACGTTCTTACTTAGCTTCTTTAGGATCACCAATTGTAGGCTCCTTGTCCCTTATTTATGGCTAGAAACCAATTATGAGTGAGTACATCCCATATTCATCTTTTTGGGTCAGGAAACTAGACTTTAAAATGCTAATTAACCCAATTAAAAAATGGGGCACTGAACTGAACAGAGAATTCTCAGCAGAGGAAGTTCAAATGGCCAAAAGACACTTAAGGTCATGCTCAACCTCCTTAGCGATCAGGAAAATGCAAATCAAAACAACTTTGAGATATCATCTTACACCTGTCAGAATGGCTAAAATAAAAAAATCCAATGATAGCCTTTGCTGGAGAGGCTGTGGAGGAAGGGGTACACTCCTCCATTGCTGGTGGGAATGCAATCTTGTGCAACCACTTTGGAAATCAGTGTTTCGGTTTCTCAGGAAATTCGGGATCAACCTACCCCTGGACCCAGCAATACCACTCTTGGGAATATACCCAAGAGAGGCCCTATCATACAACAAAAGTATATGTTCAACTATGTTCATAGCAGTATTATTTGTAATAGCCAGAACCTGGAAACAACCTAGATGCCCTTCAATGGAAGAATGGATGAAGAAAGTGTGGAATATCTACACATTAGAGTACTATGCTGCAGTAAAAAACAATGACTTCTCGAATTTTGCATGCAAATAGATGTAAATAGAAAACACTATCCTGAGTGAGGTAATACATAATACACTTATATATACACATAACCAGATATATACGCATACACATATACACTTATACATACACATAAACATATATTCATACACAACAAACACAGTTTATAGATAACAGAGAAATTCTGTGTTTGCTGAAAAGTTGTCAATGTTGTGGTCTCTACATCATGCACATACCTGATATTTGATAGTCTTTCTACCACACGTGTTTTTTTTGCGAAATGCAAAGCCACTCTGAACTGTTTCCTGATAGCTGATGTTATGAAAACTTAGCACAGCCTCTCCAGTCAATGTGCGCGGATTACCGGTGTCCATTCCAGGAAGGTCATTGGGATTTCTTTCTATCATTGGGATTACAACAGGGTCATTATTGGAAGACATCCTGAGAGGTTCTTCCTTCCTGTAGAAGAAAAGGCAACAGCAAGTTGATGGCCCACACAAACATTATTACAAAGCACAGCACACTTAAGAACTGTTTAAACTATGTAATCATAGCCAGATCCCTTCCTGATGAACAGTACATTTGGCTGCATTTCCCTAAGGACCCAATGAGAAGCCTACAAAACTAAGTATACAGACTTCCCCTTAAATATGAAATTCCTAAGAAACAAACGGACCCTAGCGAGTAGAGTATAAATGATATTCATAATTCATAAAGAAACAGGACAACTGGTGAGGGAGGTCCTTCTGTCTATGTGTTACTTTTATTGGTTAATGAATAAAGAAACTGTATTGAGCCCATGATAAGGTAGAGAAGAACTAGGCAGGGAAAACTAAGCTGAATTTGGGAGGAAGAAGGATGAAGTCAGAGGGATGCCATGGAGCTGCCACTGGAGATAGACATGCTGAAACTTTGCTGGTAGGCCATGACCTTATAGTGATATACAGATTAGTAGAAATGGGTTAAATTAATATATATATCTTATATAAGGGAAAGGAAGGGAAAGAAGGGAGGGGAGGGGAGGGGAATAGGTGGGGAGGGGAAGGAAGGGAAGCCAAAAGAGAACAGGGAGAAGTTGTTGTGAGGGGTATTTGGAGGAAAATACCAATAAGAAACTAGCGCTAATGGGCTAAGCAGTGATTTAATTAATACAGTTTCTGTGTGATTATTTCAGGTCTAAGCTAGCCAGGTGGCCGGGAAACAACAAGTGGGACCTCCTCCAACAGACAACATATTAGGGGAAGATTTGTCTCACTTCAAAAGTATATTATGATTAATATAAGTTCAGAGACAGAATACATCACCACCCCTACCACATATCCTGAGTGTGCATGTGTTTGTGTGTGTGCATGTGTGTGTGTATTGCAATATGGGGTATAAAATAATAACAAGTTGGATTTGCACAGTGATCAGTAGAAATGTGTGACCGTTTCCAGCTTCAGACTGCACCTCTGGTCATCAGACATCTTCAGAAAGCCAAGCAGATGAAATGCTGACAACGACATCACTGTCACTGTAACAGGTAAGTTTAAATTCTATGAAGACTCAGAGTTTAGAATGAGAGGGATTAGGGACACCAAATCAGTAGATAAGCAGCTTAAGACTTCTAAGAAAAAGGAATATAAATGAAATATAAATGTCTCATTTGACAACTTATCAACATCTGCTTTAAAGTAAGACCTTTAGTGAACTGAGCTAATGAAACAGTTTAAAATACCGTCTTCAACACAGCCAGATTTCCTTTTTAATACCTGACATCTGTGCTTCAAGATCCAGAAGTCTTAGTATTTACAATTTCAGACAAACCAAACTATGGCTGTAAGCTCTGCCACATCATTGTGCTCTACTCAGACATGGCTGGAAGAATGAGAAACCTCTCTTGTTCACAGAATATCATCCAAAATTTCGATTATGAATTTCTAGGCATGTCAATAAACATAATTAAATATTCTTAAACTAAGAACGTAGAAAGAAGTTCACAAGTAATCCAGGTAATCCAGACCACAATTAGCAATCATTAATAATATGACAACTGATTGCTGCATTCAAAGATAGAAAGAAATTACAGATTTCTTATCACAAGACACAAAATCTATTTTTAAACCCATCATAATTAAAATTTCAATAAAGGCAACCACTTAAACACAGATTAACAAGGAGAAGGAGAGAAACTAACAACTGATACTGAAATAAAATCCATTCTAAGAATAATCATATGGAAAAAGATCTCCAAGTTGGAAAGAAAGAGCAACATGGGGGCATAAGGCATCTGCAGGACTTGACAAAAGAATATGAAGTTCCTATACAAGAACGCTGTGATGGCAATTGAGGCAGAAGACAACAGCACATAGAGAAACATGGGTCTGGGCCTGAGAGCACAGGTCAGTGCATGCTCAGCACATGTGAGGACAGGGAGCAACTCCAAGGTGAAACAGGCTGTGCTGGTGACCACAGGCTGGCAGGAGAGACCATTCTCATGAGACTTAAATCCAGCATAGGTATTTGTAAATGGACACTTCCTGTCCCAAGGGCTCAGAGGCTAAATATGAATTATAAATGCTCAATTGATTGCTCAGGCTTGTTACTAGCTAACTCTTTCACGTAAATTAACGCGTATTTCTATTTATGCTTTGCCATGTTGCTCATGACTTGTTACCTTATTTCTTACATGACCTGCTTGCTCAGCGGCTGACTGGCACCTTTCACGACTCTTGCCTGCTTCTTCCCATCATTCGCAGGTTGGCTTTCTTGCCTAACTTCCTGCCCGACTACTGGCCTGCCAAGCTTTTATTAACCAATGAGAATATTATATATACATAGTATAGAAATGGATTGTTCCACTGCAGTTATTTGACCTGACACTGTCTCCTCCTGCATGGCAGAGCAGTACTGGGGATAAACTCACTGAATCAATCACTGTCATGGGGATGTCATGTGGAAAACATGGATGGATACTTTGATGTCATCCACATGTCAGATTATTGAAGAACAATGCATTCATAATCTGCATCAAGTTTCTTGTCTTTCATTTCCCAGGCACTTTTGTTTCTTCTGAGGCTGTGGCTTTTGGCAAGTGTAAACTGGTTCCTTCTCATCCTAAAGACCAATATTGTCTCCCAGATCTCAGACTGCATTGAGCACACAATACAGTGTCACCCAAAAAGGCTTCAGGGGTGCAAGGGTTAAGGCAGAGCTGTGGAAGGGAAAACAGAGCTGATACACATGCAGCAGGGAGAGCTGTTCTGGAACAGGGTGGTCAGTAAATACTCAGATGGTTCAAGGCACAGAGTCAGTTCAAGATAGAGAGATGGTCACAGGGCAGATTGCGCCAAAGCACAGAACTGACTCCAGGCGTAAGGGGTCTGAACAAATGGGAGTTCAAGTGGGTCATTTCAATTAGGACTGATCATGTGAGCAGAAGTCCTAGGACAGACTTGAGTGTTTGTTGCCTTGTATCTGGTGATGCACACATCAGGTGGGCTGATGGTGGCTCAGTGGGTATGATCCAAGAGAGGGTACTGCAGCCATCATTGCTCTGGTGTTTAGGACAAGCACACAGGCTTGGTTTCCTGTACAAGTTCTTCAAACATTCATGGGTCTAAGTGTTTCTGGCTTGATATTTTTATAGACATGAATAATTAATTTCTGTTAATAAGTTATCTATCAATCTATATCTCACTGTCTGTGCTTGACACTTGCATACATAAGGTACTGATTTATTTTGCCTCAGAATTTGCTTCCGAAATGAAGCAAACCACTGCTGTATAAATGTATAAATGGAATCACTCAAGGCATGGCAACTCCTGTCCTGTATAAACAAAGGAACACAGATAGGCCCAACCCAAGTTCTACACACTCCGTCTCTAGCAGTGCTAGAACCAAAAGTTTCTATTCTGTGAGTTTGAGCTGTGTTGGGATCCAAAATTATCAAGCGGATGTCATGGTGCCCTGGATGCCCTGGTGGGTAGGCAGCCATGAGGGGCATGGAGGTGGGAGTGACTGAGACATACTCCTAGCTCAGGCAGTGGAAGGATGAGAATAGGCAGCCCTGCTTCCTATAACCAGGAATGTAGTGACATTTCATTTGCATTTAAATAAATAAAGCTTGTCTGAAGATCACAAAAGCAAAACAGTTAGTCACCGGCTCTTACCTCTACCTCAGCCTGAATGGTGAGCCTGCCTCCAGGAATCTCAAACTGAGACTGAGAACTGTCTCTTCCCATCTTATAATTCTCTCTAGTGCTATGATTAATGATGTGCACCACTACTGCCTAGTTTTTATGGCAAGCTACTGTGGCTACTGAAATTAAAGGTGTGTGCCATTGCTGCCTGAAATGGGAGGCTGGCCAGTGTAGCTCTTTTACGTTTCAGATCTTCAGGCAACAAATGAAATGCCACTACATGGGTATAACATGGCTCCTCTGGATGACTGCAGAGCCTGAGAGTTCTAAGCAGGTGGCTGCCAGATTTTTTCATTTCTGAAACTTTCTCATGGTTCAATTTGTGCACAGCAGATATTGGATGAGAACTTATAACCAGAGTAAATTAATTACTCAATTTCCACAGCTTCTTATTTATTGCATGGGGTTTGCTGCTGGATAGGATCTGAGGATGCTTAAGCAAACAGCTCAGCTCCCAGGACTTCTCTCCATTGCAGAACTCCATGCTGTGTTTTCATTCTCACTTTCCTCAAAGCATCTGGTTTTCATGACAAATAAGTGTTACCTGGACCACAGCCCACAAAGACCTCTATGGCCAGAAGTGAAGAAGAATCTACAAAGATGGGAGCTTTAGTAGGAATGGTTCTCTGGTACATAGTGACTTTAATCTCTTCCTCACTATCTTATTCTCCTTTTCTTTTTCTGACCTTACTTCCTGTACATTGTTGTTATTCATGATGTTGTTGTTTATTTGAGATGTAGTTTCTCTTTGTAGCCCTGCCTGACACTGGAACTCACTCTGTAGATCATGCTGACCTTGAACTCAGAGATCCACCTGCCTCTCCCTCCCAAATGCTTAGGACATTTAAGAAAGCGGGCTGAGCAACTAGTAGGCTATGTTTCTTCAAGGTCTCTGATTCAGCTCTTGCCTGAGTTCCCACCTGACTTCTTTTCTTTCAGTGATAGTTTGTGATGTGGAAGTGAAAGACAAACCTTTTCCTCCCCAAGTAGCTTGTGGTCACGATGTTTTATCATAGCAATAAAAAAAATTACCAGTGAGCCAGCAAACATCTAAGATGAGAGATAAAGAAAAGATCATATAGCAATTTGAAACTCAAACAGAAAAGCAAAAGATGAAGAGAAGCCCACCAAATTATAGGATTTCATTCAGTACAAACATTTTAACACTAACCTAAATATAAATAGTCTCAACTCTGGAGTAAAAGATGCAACTGGCAGGCTGAAGTGAAAGCAGAAAATAATAACCAATTGTTTATTGAAGCAGGAAGCTCAACTAGCTGGTCACGCGTGTGAAGACTGAGAGTGGAAGGATGGAAAACAGCATTTTAAACAAACAGACTGGAAAGCTGTACTACTACCTGACAAAGCAGATATCCAGTCAAAGTTAGGAAGAATAAAGATAATTGTAAATTAATAATTTGAACACGCCATCACAAACTTTTAACAAATCAATAGGGTAATTTCTTGTATTCTATCAGATCATAATGGAATTGTAGAAAAAGTCAACCGCAAGAGAAAGTACAGAAAAACACGGAGACTCAACACTGTGTTGTATGCAAGCATGGTTCAGCATATGCAAATTGATAAAAGAAATTCAGTACATAACATGATCAAGGATAATAATTATATTATAATCTCAATAGATGGAGGAAATCTTTGAAAACTAAACTCGTTCTTGATTACAAACTAGGAAGAAAAAACTCACACCTACACACAAGAAAGGGCACTGTGATAATCCTACCAACGGCAATATACTGAATAGGGAAAAACTTAAATTAATTTCTCTAAATACAGGATAGAGACAAGAGTGACCATCTCTTAAGTTTTATTTAATATAGAGCTTGGATCATCAGAGAAATATGATGAGAGAAGAAAAAGATACAAACAAAAAAGGAAGAATTACCCTATTTGTGGATAAAATGCTTATATATTGAAAATTCCACAGGCTGGCAGAGCACTTGCCTAACATGTGCAAGGCTCAGGATTTGATCCTCTGAACTACATACCAAGAAAAGGGCTCTGAAAACTATCCAAGGTCCAGCAAGAGGTTTCTGCAGGTAAACGTACTGCCTACACAGGATTGGCCATCTGAGTTCAATCCAAGAACGCCATGGAAAGGGGACTACAGTGGCATGCCTTTGTGATCCCAACATAGGAGATCTCCTGGAAGCTGAGGGGCCAGCTACCCTGGAGCACCCAGCATGGAACAAAGTACAGGAGAGATCACCTGAACAAGTTGGAAGAAAAGAACTGACTCTCAAAAGTTATCCTGTGATCTCCACACACATTGAATCTACCCATAACACACCTTGATGCTCACCGCCCCGCGTGCACACACACTGAAAGTACCCAGAGAAGCAGTGGGAAAGCATATCTGGATCAAATAAGCAGAGTGCATTATGGAAATATGTTTGCACACCTCTGAATATTCCCATAACCACACAACTGTGCACTGTAAGTCCGTGAGGTGTGTGATGCTAATTATACTATAGAAAGTCGTTCCTGCTCGCCCATACTCACTGCTGTCAGATGCAGGGGAAGAAGAGCAACCCAGGTTGCTGCTCAGCTTGTCCTCAGCCTCTGCCTGAAACAGGAACTTCAAGGAAGTAAGGTGAGCTTGGGCAGCACCAGAAAAGAAGAGTGGAGCTAGCGCCACCTAGTGGTCAATCGAGATTCTCATGTACAACGTTGTCCTGGCGCCTCAGGTCCACACCAAGCCCTAGATGAGTCCACCATCAGTTGGACCGTGGGGAGGCAGCCGCGGGAAGAGATAAAAAGGAAACCAAAGGTGTCTGTCTTTCCTTCTTTCTTAATAGACTGACGGTCGGGGTGATAACTAGGAGATTATATGGTTAACCCAGAAAGGGAAAAACGGGGTCAGTACAGCCAAGGGTATGGCTTGTTAAATGTCCAGGTTGTTCATATAAATTGACTTATAATTTCATTTTATATATGAAGAGACCAATTGAGAAATAATTCACTATTAAAGACTGTAATCCCTATAACTAAGAGCCTGAGACAGGAGGATTTGGGGTTTGGGTGCCTGGGCTAAATATCAAACTCTATCCCTAAAGAAGAAGAGATGGGAGAGGGAACTAAGTGCAAACTGTTAACCTTCAGCCAGTGTGTGCAGTATAGGACACTTGACGGACCAGAGAGCTAATTTTGAAAAGTAAGTCAGCTTCATACTCTATCAGTCTTTTCTTTTTAACATTCTAGCAAGAATTAAGGAGGGTAACAAATGCCCTCCACCCTCCAACCGAGGAGCTATAAATTGTAGACACTGCCAGGAGAGAAAAACCTGCTTTTCTTCAGAAATGCTGTCCATAGTATGTTGACTATTCAGGGGATTATCCTCCTCCAGTGTGTTCATGGGAAGCCCTGACTGGACTCTGCGTTATTGAAGAAGGGGCGGGAGAGGAATAGAGAAGAAGGGAAGGCTGGAGCTGGGAGGGAAAGAGAGGTTGGGAAAAAAGTTGCTGGGAGGGGGACTTCCGGTGGAATGCTGAAATAAAGTAGCAGTGGTATGAATAAAATACACAATATGTATGAAGTTCTCAAAATTACCAAAGAATAAAAGTTCTAAAAGTTTTTATGAAGATAACTCTTATTGGAATACAAGATACATACAGAGAAGGTACAGGCTAGGCAGTGGCCCAAATCCGTCAGCATGAGGACCTGAGTTCAGATCCCAGCACCAGCACCAGGAAAAGAGCCTGAGTGTGGGAGGGGGACGCAGGGCATCCCTGGGGATGGAGGATCAGCTTTTCTAGATAATTAGAAAGTCCTGGTTCATTCCTCAGGAACAGTGTGAGTGAGAGAAAAACACTCTTGTTGACCTCCACAGGTATGCACACCTGTATACAGCCACACATACACACAAAAAGTGTAAAAATATCTGACTAGAGAGATTGAGGTATACTTTCAGTATGACACACTTGTTTTTTGTAAAACTCAGATTTTTTTCTGAACATGTAGAGTACTTCAAAATGCAGAATAGGAGCATACACCTATAATCTCAGACACTCCACCTGAGGTCCAAGCTTTGCAAGTTGAAGGACAACCTATGCTACATAGAGGTTACTGGCCAGCCTGGGCTACAAAGTGAAACTGTTTCTGCCCTCTATCTTGAAAAAAGAGCAGAAAAGAAAGAGACTAGAGAGAAAAATGGGAAAGGTCAGAGGTGTGAGAGAGAAGGAAAAGGGGAGAGAGCAGCAGTGAACCACAGGGCTTCCCTCAAGCTCCACCATGGCCATCCTCTCCAGAGGTCACCACATTCTTGCTTCTGTCATTTGCTGTCTACTTCTATTTAATTTTTACGTCTATTATGTAGTAGAGCTGGTGACCTGACCCAGGGCTTCAGGCTGGCCCACGTATGACACTGAGTACATCCCCAAATCTGAGGATTTGATAACTAAGTGATAAATTTCTATTTGATAACTATGTGATGAATTTCTAACTAATTCTCTTCACCCCCTAGCCCTATGCTGAACCCAAGTGCCTCTGCAGCACCTGCCTTACACTTCTGTGGCATCTGAGCCTCCTAGACCCAAGAATCCTAAAGAGGTTTCCCACGTCTGTGCCATAATTTTTGTTTAAGAACCCATGACTCTGGGAGCAGTGTTATCCACTCACATTGAGAACCTCCCTTCAAAGTTGATTTTACAAAATTGTAGATTTCCACATGGGTTTTCATATAGATCTAGTCTCAGATGAACTTCCCTCTGCTCTCTCACCTCTTTCCTCCTCCCTTACCTCCAAGTAACCCTTTATCTGCCAGTGTTCCCTCTCTATTTTAATATAATGTGCATTTACTGCCCTCCCCAGCAAAGGTGTCTTTTACTCTTTCCTGGCCTCTATAGGCTCTGATTTAAACACACAGATCTAAACATTTCAAAGTAGAACCAACATTTGAGAGATAACCTTTGACTTTCCAGACCTGGATCACCTCACTCAACATAATATTATCTAGTTCCATCAAATTTTCTACAAATTTTGTTTTCTTTACAACTGAATAAGATTCTATTGCATACATGTACTGAAGTGACTAAGGCAAAGCCATGTTGTCCTGACTCCATTTTGGTCAGTTCAGATACTTCTCAGCCCTCTACTCCACAACAGAGATGTCTGTTTTGGCAACACATTTGGGATTCCCATCAACATGGTCCACATGGATTAACCAAAATAATTAGTAATATAAAAACTTAAACTAAAATAACTGAAGAAGGTGTAAGTGACATTAATTGTCATGTTGTGTCTGAAATGACTATGTTCTGTCAAAACAAATGTTCTGTCAAAACTATGTTCTGTCAAAAACAAATATTTCCATTACGTTCATCACTAGCACCATCTAACACTGACATCCAGGATATTAGCATTTCCTCTGCTGTGACTAGAGCAGCAGTGAACAGAGATGGGCAAGTATCTCTGTAGTAGGAGACTGAGTCCTTTGATACATGTGTGGGAGAAAACCCTCACCAGCTACACCCTTGACAGGGAAATAACAGTCAGAATACAGAAAAACTTGAAAACATCCAGAAAACAAATGACACAATACAAAAATAGGTTATGTAACTGAACAGAGAGTTCTAAACAGAAGAAACACAAAGAAAGAAAGAAAGAAAGAAAGAAAGAAAGAAAGAAGAAAAAAGACAAAGGATAATATTTTTAAAAAAATACTCAAATTCTTACTTATTGGGGACTTGTAAATTAAACAATTAAAGGTCCATTTTTCTCCAATCAAAATAGATACCATTGCGAGAACAAAAGATGACATGATGGTGGAGGTGGGGACAGTGGACCCCTTTTCACTGCTGGTGGAGGTGTAAACGATTACAAGTGCTGTTGGAATCAGTATGGAAATTCCTGAGAGAACAGAAATAAAACTACCATATAAGTGATTACATCCATATTCCAGATTCTATTCCATTTAATTACATACCTCGATCTGTACCAGGTCTATGTGTTTACTTCCATGGCTTTGTTGTAGATCTTGAGGTGCAGCCTGCCGATGTCTCCAGAATTAGTTTTTCTTCCTCACAGGTGCTTTGAAGTCCCAAGTTCTTTTACGCTACAATGTAATAATTTTAGCATATTTGCTTCATTTTCTGAAGAATAATGAAATTTTAATGGAGATAAAATTGTTAAGTTTTTTTGCTAGTGTTTGTGTGCTTGTTTGCTTATAGAACAACCATTCCCACAAGAATAATTTTTCCATTCTATGTGCCATGGAGGCCTTTCTTCTGGAATCTTCCTCAATTCCTTTGTCAGGGTTTTAAAGTAGGATCATTCCATTGTATTTTACTGTTTTTGAGGCTGCTGTAGCTAATATTGTTTCTTTCTCAGTCTGTCTATCAATGGTTATATGAAGAAAGATGCTTAAAAGAAATCCCACACTAGCTCAGAATTGAGAATAATAGAGGGTTATTTATTTAGGGGTAGACTCACAGATCACAATCCTCTGCTGGAATGGAGAACAGCAACCAGCATCATGACATCATGTCAGCTAGGTGAAGCTGTTGTGGAGCCCCATATTCTTCCTGGAAACTTCAAAGGTTACTGTAGAAAAATTCATTGTTCATTGTGGAAAACTTAAACATTATTTATATAGGCATACGTAGACATGTATATTCAATAAAAGATATAATAGAGACAAATAGAGGTATGAAGAAAAGTAATTATTTTTTCTAAACTCAGTTTTCTTTCTGTCCCATATCATGGATCCTGACATGAGACAGAAACTCTAAACTTTTCTTTTAAGAACATGCGTGGATTTAGATAAGGACAGAGCCAGTGTCCAACTTCAAATCTAGCTTTGACTTTTAAGTGAACCATGATTAATATTTTAGTTTGTGTTTTTTAGATTCTTACCCTCAAATAACATGTCCTTATAAGTCATAATTCTCTTCACTTGGTGATCCTCTCTGGATAATTATATTTTCCTCTTTAGGCATCTAGATGTCCAGGGTCTCTTGACCTTTTGAAGATAAATATTTTTCTGCAAAGACAAGAACAAAGTCCTATCCCAACCCTTATAAGGCTTCCTTACCACCTGTATGGTTCTTACCATTTTGAATGATCTGTCATATCTCTTTATCAAGAGATGCTTCTTTTCAAACTGAATCTTTATTAATTTTGATGGTATCCATAGTTTTTCTTCTCCTGTGGAAGCAAAAGCAAAACCCCTTCCCCAATGTAGTACATATCCTGGCTTCCATTGTGAGGTCAACACATCCTTGAAATACACTAGCTGATTTAATTCAGAAGACATTTCTATTATCCAATGTCTCTCTGCTGCTGTTGTCCCTTTCTCATTAGTGTTAAAGAAATTCAAGGTTAATAAAGGTTTATATAATCAATTTCTGGGGGTATTTTCCACCCCTTTCTGTTTGTTTAACATAGCCTTTATAGTTTAATTTGATCTTTCTATAACTGCCAGACTTGTAGGATTATGTGGTATACCTGTAATATGCTTAATATTATAATAAGCAAAAATGGTTTCATTTTTCTAGAGACATATGCTGGACCATTACCTATCTTTATTTGTGTAGATATACCCGTGATGATCATAACTTCTAAT